CCCCCCCCCCCCACCTGCAGGTCCAGCCCAGCATGCTGCGCCAGCGCATCCACCATGGCCTCCAGGGCAGCCATGTCTCCGCTCGCCTCAAGCTCAGCACTTTAAAAGGGGAAGCCGGGGAGGGGTGGGGCGCATGTGTTGGAGGTGCGAAACGGCGCGTGAGTGCAGCAGAGCTGTGAAAGCTTGGGAGTTGTGTTGTGTGTTGGGTGTACTTCAGGCGCTGCTGTTGGAGCGCAAGGGCGAGTCCGTGCCTGTGCACTTGCGCACACACATGTGCGGCGGCCTGCAGCTGGCCATGTGTGGGATGCAAGCGGCAGGCGCCCTGCGCTTGCACCCTCGCTGGCGCGTGTGGTTCAGGGCTCACGTAGATCTGTACCAACAACCGTAGGCCAGGAGGTCCAGCACATTGCGCCGCTTGATGGAATGCATGGGCGCATCCCTGATTCAGAGGGGCAGCACGATGCAACCAGGGCAGCTTGGCTTTGGGGAGGACGTCAAGCCCGGGTTACTGAGAGGCGCCGGCGCCGCGACTGAGGGCGGGCGGTAAGGCGGGGCGCGCGTGCGGCGACGGGGGGTTGGCCGCGGCGGCGGTGGGGGGTGGGTTGCGGGCCGGCGCACCTGAACCAGGGGCTCAGGTAGGCCTCTGAAAACGCGAAGTGGTGCCGCAGCTGCAGGAAGACGCGCCGCGCGGTCGCCGCGCCGTCGTGGCCGGCGGGCCGGTGGTCGGCGGGCCGCGCGTTGAAGCGGCGCAGCTTGTCGGCCCACACGAACGCGAACGTGGCCTCAGCGGCCAGCCACAGGAACAGCAGCTGCCAGGGCGCGAGCGCCCGCAACGCCTGGGCGGCACCGGCGGCGGCCGCGAGCGCCGCGGCGGCCGCGCCGGCGGCCGCCCTGAATGCCAAGCAGCGCGTGCGCGCCTCGCATTCGGGCGGCAACGGCGCCGATGGGGTCGGGGCGGTCATCCGTGGGTGTCGGACTGGGTCAGCTTCGCCACAGCAGCAGCGTCTAGAGAGTGTTGTGCCTGCCGACACCTGGCGGTCAAAACCACGCCAGGCACTGTTTGGCGGGACCCAAGCGGCTGCTATTCTACTTGACCAAGCTTTATCGTAGACGACAAGAGCAAGAGCTTTCCGTGGCCAGCGCTCGGCGAACGTGAGGGCTGACCGACTGATGATATGCGCGATTTGCAGACTGCGAGGGTTTGATTGCACAACGCAACTTAGACGATGAAAGCGCCGATCAAAAGAAGGAGTGACCCAGCCACACCTCTCTCATCGCAACCAGGACGAATCACCCATTCACACACTCGCGCTCCGCTGAGGCGCAGGTCTCACACAAGCTCGGGGGTGTCAGGAATTGCAGCAAACAGTAGAAACTCACCCATTTACCGTAGTGATCCAAGCGTGCTTCCACACTGCCACGCAGGGTTGCGGCAAAATGAGCCGCTGCAGTCCAAACATGCCACGGCGGGGGCCGGTTGTCACCCCACTGCTCATCCGACACAGGGTGATGTGACAATTTGCCGCAGCGTCGCATGACGTGTGCAAACCAAGTGGCATGTGCATGCACCCTTTGCACACAACTGCGCCTGCTCATCCCGCAGCAGGGCACATACACAGGGGCGAGCAAGCAATGCTCTCCCCTGAGCAAGCAATGCTTATGTGCGTGCGCGCGTTTGCGTCTGCAGGACCAGGCGGAGGGCAGGCGCCACAGGCAGGCAGATAGCCATGGAGCCTTTGCATGGTGCCTGTCTTGTGCCTCGCAGCGCGCTGCGGCGCCGCGGCACGGCGGCCTCGCACAGCGGCCCCGGCCCTCTGCCCAGCCTGTCTGCACATGCGAGGGGCCAGTACGGGGACAGAAAGGCGACCAATCCACAGCAGAGCTGCAGCAGATAAAATTGCAACAGATGTGGGTGTGATTGCCATGTGACGCGCCGGGCGCACACGCCGACCTGCCACAAACACAAGGTCTGCCGCTGCCAAGCATGCTCTGGCTGCCCTCAAGGCCAGGCACATGCAACGAGGCGCCGTACGGCACGTGATCTTGATCAATGCAATGGGAGCCCTGTTAACGCAATGAGAATGGCTGCAGAAGCTCAGGCAACTTGGACTGGACGTCAGGTGGTGCACGGGTGACAGCGGTTGTTGCGCCGGCTGGCTGGTGACACCGCTCCTGCACGTGTGGACTGCCAGCCAAGCAACTAGCCACCATCGTAGGAAAACAACTAAAATAGATTAGAGTAATTCATGTAGCTCTCGAGCCTCGTCGGACCGATCTTGCCTAAATGCGGGCTAGAGGGCCGACAAATCCTGGCTACGATGCGTTGTTCGGTACCTTTGCATCCCCCGGCAGCCCGAGCAAGCCAGGGCGCCTGCTGCCGACGCGCCGATCGCTCGCCGGTGCCGCGGCCGCGCGCCCACGCGCGGCACTTGCCGCCGCCCTGGCGCTATGTGTCCTCCTCTTGCTCTTCGCCGCGCGCCGCCGCTCAGTGTCGGGCGGCTCCGAGGCCGGCGCCCTCGCCGCGTCCGCCGCAGCCGCGCGCCTTGCCGCCGGCCACGCGGCACGCGCTGCCGAGCTCGCTGCGGCGCCTCCCATCCACGCGGCCGTGCAGCTGCCGGGGCCCCGGCCGCTGCCGTTCCCGCCGCCGGCGGTCAATGACGCGCTGCTGCGTGCGGTGGTCGGCGCGTGTGCGGAGCGGCAAGAGACCTACGTGTATGTGCACGGCTCGGAAGCTGCCGTCGTAGCTTCCGCGGATTTCGTGTCATCGGTGCTGTCGCGGCCATGCCCGCCCGTCGACATCATGCTCGCCGCGCAGCACCGCTCCATCGGCCTGTGAGTTGAGGCTCCCGCCTCGGCCCGCGCTGCAGGGCGCCAGGGGCGGGGGGCTAGGGGCTTCCCGGGCGGCTCGAGGCCGGAGCCGCGCGGTTCAGGGATGGCAGTGGCAGCGCGGCCGAGCAGCTCGCTGCGGTGCACCAGCCTGGGCGCCACTTCGCACGAGCTCCCTTCCGACCTTGCATCCCACCTTGGCGCCCAGTCAATGTTCAGTCAATGTTCAGTCAATGTTCAGTCAATGTTCAGTCAATGCTCAGTTAATGTTCAGTCAATGTTCAGGGCCCCACCGCGCTTCCCACCCACACACGCCACTCTCACACTCTCACACACACACTCACACACACACACACACACACACACACACACACACACACAATCATACACACACACACACACACGCGTGTGCGCAGAAGCGCACGGGCTGTGCTATCCACGCCCTTCCGCAG